TGCCTCTGCTGTGGCTAACACCCGTTTGCGCAGGCCTTTGGAGTAGTGTGTTAGCGTGCGGTAAATGACCCGGAAGGCTTCTCTCGCGTTCACTTGGCGGTTCGTATCAATTAGGTGGGCGAGGATTGAGCTTGAGATCGGTCTATCCTCTCCTTTGCTGAGCAACGCTGTTATGTGCTGGCGTATTCTCGTCTCTAGACGCCGCGGTGTTCGGCCAATATATCCCGCTCCCCAGGAACAGGTGAAAGAATAGATGCACATAAATGTGGCCCGAAGCGGTAGTCTGTCGTCACCTCCCATTCGTAGAAGGGGGGAGTTAGTGAACAGTACGCGTGAGTTTGCCGCCGGGAAGGCACTCGTGACTGCTGTCCTCAGGCGTCGTCTTACCAGTTTATTGTGAACTGAACCCAGGCCTTACCTATACCTAGTTGATCTGACGTCTACTCCATACTGCGCCACTCATATTTAGGACATAGGCTTACTGTACTCTCCAGGATCCCCGTGCATTATTACAGGGTGAGGTTGCGGGAAGCTCTTCAGGTCGACATAAATCTACCGAAGGGCCTGTGATATTGATGCGTCTTTTTCTGTGCAGGTTTACACCAGACCGAATGCAGACATAGTTTGTTTCGTTTGACGTACACCAAAAGGGTTTTTAACACGTACGATAGCTGGCAAACAGAATAACTTTGGCATTTGTCAAAACCGTGAGGGAAAACAATTAAGAAAGTGGTCATATCAGCCGCGAATCCGATAGGTCTGCCAAACATCTACCCTTCGGATAAGAAGCCATTCCGACGCTACACTTATAAGTGGCTTTTTTTCACGGAAACCCTAGTGTGCCCGAGCAGCTGTCTCAGCGTTGATTAGATTTCTGAGAGGTTAGCATAATTTTGCTTGTAGGGCAAAGGGGAAAATGTAGAAACCTGGCAAAACTTGTCCTCAGAGGCTGCAGTCTCCCTACTGAATATCGATATTGTTTTGCCACTGACAGTTCAATGCTTAAACCATGGAGTTCTGTTCCTGTAGAACTCAAGTCAGATATACATAACCGACAAAGACAAGGGAGACTGGAATGACCATTCTTAGTTTATTAGCCTTCATCAGTCAGCCATAGCCAAACCCAAGGTGTGGCGACTCCCGAGGCTCTAACCCACGACCTTGTCAGTTAGAAGTCCAGCGTTCTAACCACTGCCTTGCCAGTTTCGATTGGGAATATACGCACTATCAGATAGGCGTTACTTATAATAGTAGATGGGCGCTCACCCATCAGGTTACGGAATTCGTGTGTTCTGAATAACTAATTATGGTTCGTTCGCTGCCATTAGGTAGTCATACCCAACTCAATGTCTGGGGTACCTACGGTTGGAACTCTCACTATTTTGGTTCTTGGTCCGAACGCTCTAACTATTGGGCCACGGGATCCTTGTCTCGTCAGGTATATTAGCACTGCTAGTGGGGCGCTAATCGATCTGCCATTAAGATAATCTCTTGTCCGCCTGGGAACCCAGAGAAAGTCACTTTTCTCCCTCCATCCTCCTTTTATTCTTCTTTTTCTTCTTGTATCTACTGCATTCTCTCCTTCTCTATTCCTTCCCGGAAATCTGTGATGTTGCTCAATTATATCTATGTCCGGTTGTGTGTTTTGCTTTCGGCGCGGCTCCGACAGTCTGCGTCTGCCAGACGTGTCTGTGCTTGGCACACGGAGGATAAAATTGGGTAGATCGGCCTGCCGGAATTTGCATATCGTTTGCGAAATGTCAGTCTCGTCATTGCGTCAGTCGGTCGTGGCCGATAAGTGCGCATCCCGACCACCTGTACAACACCCACTTGCTGCGCTTCTGCTTCCATCCGAAATTGTGCTGCCGTTTGTCTGGGCGGCGTTGCGGTTATAGCTAATTTTTTTGGCGTTCACGCCTCTGTTGACGACTCAGCATAATTGCATCTGTTTACGATGCAGGATATTTTGTGCCATCATTCTGCTTACTCAATGCGCTACTAGGTCATCCAACACACTGCTATTAACACGGCGCCATAGGGGCGGCATTCCACTGTTGTCAATTTCCGGGACTCCACTCTCATCTAACTTCTTTTTTGCTGTATATCGTCTGGAAAGTTAGTGGAGTCGTTCGTGGCTGTAGCAACCTTGCTACGGGGATTTGGAACAGCCCTGGAGGGCGTCT